ATCCACTATCCTTGATCAAATGTTGTCTTTATAAAGTAAAAGTAATGGTGTCACTAAAATAAGTTGTAGTGAAGAATTTGACCTAATATACATCAAGTAGAAGTTATTGTTTTTTACATAAAAAAATAAAGTTCCTGACTTCTGCAGGAGTTCCAGAGCAGAAATAATTATTAATATCAACATTTTATAGTTACAAATGCCCCCAATACAGAAGTATACAAATATGAGAGTTAGAACAGAGAAATACAATTAATATTAAGCAATCATTTAAGCAGATGGCATGTAAACTAAATATGGCATGGGTAAATTAAATCTTTGTAAGTGTCTTGAGTTCAAGGATTTATTTCCATGAAAGTATTTTGATGGTTGTCTTCCTGAGAGCCTCTTTTACATCTTTGTTCCTCAGACTGTAGATGAGAGGGTTCAACATAGGGATCATCACTGTATAGAACGCGGACACCACTTTGTTCTGACTAGTGGAATGGCTGGACTTGGGTGTCACATAAGTAAAAGTAATTGCTCCGTAGGAGAGAGTGACTGCAGTGAGGTGGGAGGTACAGGTGGAAATGGCCTTGTGACGGCCCTCAGTGGAGTGCATCTTCAGGATGGTGATGAGGATGTAGACATAGGATATGCCTATGACAAACACTGTGAACACAACCATGGAGCCAGAAGAAATAGAGGGGATAAATGCAATAATGGAGACATCTGAGCAGGAAAGTTTCAACAAAGGAGAAAAGTCACAGAAAAAGTGATCTACCTGATTTGGTCCACAGAAGGACATTTTTAACAAACTACCAGCAAATGTTGAAGCATTCACACAGCCACCTATATACGAAAGCCCAACTAAGATCATGCATGCTCTAGGAGACATATGTGTGGAGTACAATAAGGGCGAGCAGATGGCCACATAGCGATCATAGGCCATGACAGCCAGCAGAAAACACTCAGTCGTCCCAAACATTACTGCAATGCAGAACTGAGCTTCACAGCCAGCGACAGGGAGAGAAATTTTATGTACAAGAAATCCTGTAAGCATTATAGGTGTAATTGGTGAAGAATATCCAATATCAACAAAAGCCAGATGACTAAGGAACAGGTACATGGGGGTGTGGAACTGGGGACAGCTTCTTATTAAAATGATGATACTGATATTGCCTATTAAAGTGAAAGCATACATTTCTAGAAATAGCACAAAGAAAATGACACGGAGGGTAGGATCCTGTGTCAACCCTAAAATGATGAACTCTTTCACCATGGTTTGGTTTCCAGCCTCCATCGCTTACGTGATTTGTCCCTATTGAGGGAAATGAGAAGCTCCTTTCTTTATATTCCTCTTTCCACACCTTATTTGTTTTCAATATATTCTTCAGACTCATTCATAGTAATGTCCCCCTCT